GCAACGATGCACAGCACTTTGTAATCGCATTAAAGGCAGAGAGCGGGGGACGAAGTTCGTCTAGGCCTCAGTTCGTATCAAGCAAGGAAATGGGAACAAACGCGCGAAGACAATGCAAAACGCTTATTGGCTGCAAACAAATGCATGTTGCGCACTGCAACCAAGCGTGAGACATGCACCACGATAGACATACAACACATACGCAGCATCCAGATCCAGCCAGCCACCTCACAGCCCCGGTGTGTGACCTGTGGGCAGGACACTTGAAAAGCATTCCAGCTGATGCGCTAACGACAAACGCTGCCCCCAATGATTCATGACACCCTAATGAAAATACGCACAATCCTCTGCGGAGCTGGCGGGTGGGGGGACGCGGCGTGGCGCCAAGCAAGGTGAGGGTCTCCGCACCCAACGTCTCCGCCGCGAGTTTTCCAACTTACTGGCCCGGTATGTATGATTTGGGGGGCTCCTGTTTCCGCAGTCCCAATGCCGTCCCCGGCCTAATGAAATAGGGCCGACAGCGCTACGTCCCCCGCTTCTCCACGCGGAGAGGAATGCGTACAACATAGCATGCTTGATGAGGGAGCGCAGAAGGACGTCAACTTCTTCTTGGAGGTACAGTGAAGACGCTGCACGCAGACAAAGTAACGCGGCGCGCTGCATGCTCTTTCTGCACTGTTTATTCGCTTCAAAAAATATTAGGCCATCGGCACCGGCCCGGCACAGCTGCACGTCGCCCTGTTGTGTGGCATTCTCTTCTTCTGCTACGGCGCTGAAGTGCTGGCCCTGTCTGTCATCAACTCATCCCTGGGCTCCGACTGGTGCGCCAGTGCAAGTGGCTGTGTCTCTTTGCGTGTCGACTAGCGTACGCAAGAAGCACGGCGACAACTGGTTCCTCGATGGTGCCGTGTGTTGTTCACTTCCCGACAGGTACTCCCCCGTCGGCCGGGGGATGCTGATGAGCGCGACGCTGCTCGGGTTCGCGGCAGGCGGCATTTCTGTTGGTGCTCTGGCTGACCGATACGGCAGGAAGTCTCCAAACCTGCTGGCGCTTGGAGGGATCATCGTGGGCAACGCCGCATCGATGTTCGCACCAAACTACTGGCATATGCTGGGGATGCGAGCATTTGTTGGGTTTTGCATGGGCTGGGGCATCCCATCCTGGCTGAGTCTTGCCAGCGAGTTGTCGCCGATTGCAGCGAGAGCCCCACTGCAGGCCGCCGGTGCGCTCTTCTCGGTGTTCGGGGGAGTCTACGTGTGTGTCTGCATCGTCGTTCTCGACCCACACATGCATATCGAGTGGAGGCACCTGGTCCTGCTTGCGACAATCCCACCCTTGCTCAGCTTGCTGCCGGCCGCCATACTGCTTCCTGAGAGCCCTCGGTGGGCATTCCTGCACGGGCAGACGGACAAGGCGAGGAGGATACTGCTGAAGATGGCGAGGCAGAACGGGAAGAGGATATCTGCACTGGAGGATGAGAGTAGCTCCGAGTGGGCCGCACCCGTAGAGGAGACCAGGGGAGGGCCCACGGCATACAAGGTCATATTCTCGAGGAAATACAGATTCACCACAGCCATGTGAGTGAGCACAGAAGAGTTAACACAGGCAGATCGATCGACGCGCACCATGACTAGGGGCTGTGCTTGCTATCTGTGTGTGTATGCAGCCTCTGCTACTCGACGCTAGCATGCAGCCTCTGCATGTACGGCATGCTCTACTCGCTCCCTCAATGTGGGTGCGACGGCAATCACAGGCACACACCCGATAATCGCGGCACCCATGACATGTCACCCGTGTGTCTGCCCGATGCAGGTCTGCCAGAGATGGAGAAGGCAAGCAGTATTGCTGAGGGCTGGCAGTTGCTCATTGGGGAGGCGGTCAGCAGCCTCAACGCTATCCTCGTTTCGGCTGCTGATGTGATGCCCAGGATACTCTCCCAGTTCTTTGCCCTGCTGGTCACGTCGGCCGCTCTGCTCCTCTTCGCCCTCTTTCTCTTCTTCAGACACCCCGCAGCCACCTGGGCAGCGGTCGCCGCCAAGTTCGCCGGCCGCTGCGCATTCAATTTCCTCTACTTCTACACGTCGGAACTCTACCCCACCTCGTGCAGAGCATCCGGCGTCGGACTGGCCATCTCGTTCGGCCGCATCGGGGCATTATCTCCCCTCTACTGTTCGAATGGCTCGTGGCCGCGGTGGAGGACCACCCAGTGGTGCAAAAGCACCCGGGAGGCAAATTCTCGGCCTACTTCTTGCTCGTGGCCGTCTGCCTGCTCGTCGATGCCCTCCTTGTGCTGTGTCTCCCCTTCGAGACGCGGCTCCAAGCTCTAGAGGAGACCTATGTCGACGTGAGGCTAGACAAACGGTTTAGGGTGCCACGGCTGGGCCGGCGGTTCTCTAACCTTGACAAGATGGTGGACGACTTCCAGTATGCCCGCCGTCCACGGTCGTCCTCCATGCCTCCCGTGTCATCCTTGCCGTACGGTAGGGTGGGTGCGGGTCATTTGGACAGGCGTAGCAGTCTGCCGGTTGCGTCGGATGCGAGAAGGGTGGAGGGGTACCGGACGTGCGGTGAGTGATGGTGCAGATGGACTCGTAAATTCGGTATCAAAACGGACTTCGCTCCTGTGGTCGCTCTGCTCCTCTTTGGAGCTCCCGCACATGAGTGTCATGATGGTGGTTCTGCAATGGGACGTGCCGCTGGATAAGGCATGAACGAACGAATCACTCTGTCATTCTCTCGAGTCACACGAGTGTGCTTGCGTGTCAACCAATGTCATAGATATTCTACGGTGTATGTATGATATTCTGTCTGCTTACCGGTACTACGGAGGTAAGTCGCGGTCATCTATCCAAAGGGCAGGCGGCTGAGTGCTGAGATACTCCAGCAGCCTTCTCTCTCTTTCTCTCTCTCTCTCCTGTGTGTCAGTTGGAGGCCATCCTGGCCCAGAACGAAAGACGACTGGTAACCCAGAGTCAACCACGCACCCCGACCACCACCAACCCATGTGTGCGTTGACGGCGCATGATTCGGGCTCTCTCCTGCTCAACCTCAATCTCGTGTTGCACAGCCGCGGCACCACTGCACGCATTCAATGCAGGCAAAAAAAAAACACACACACACACACATGGACGCCGATCAGGCTCTTGGTTTGTCGATTTGGTGTGGTCGTACTGGTACCCGGGTGGGCTGGGTGACTTCGCCCTCGGCACCCACATCGCCATACGGCTGCATGGATGTCGAGACACAGCAGTCATTGCACATGTGCCAATGTCTTTGTCTCCGTATCTCTGCCTCCCTTCTTCTCCCTCCCTCCCTCCCTCCCTGCCTCTCTCTTTGCCTACTTGAGTTGCCTGGAGTGGCGCGGGGGACCACCAATCGTGGAGAGAATGGGGCCATCCATCCATACAGGCAGGATTTCCTGTCCCCTCCGGCTATAGCATATCTCACCCGTACGAGGACGGGTATGAGGGTCGCGCGCTTGCGTATGCGCTCACGGACGCAGGTGACGGTGTGCTGAGGGCAAACCTGCGCACATTCAGACACAGAAAGAGCCATGCATCCGACACACACCGTCTCGTCTTTCTCTGTACTCGTTGGCTGATTTCTTGTTCGTGGTCGTTGGGTACGTGCAGCTCTTCTGCTTGTTCTTCTTGCGGGTCACGGGAATGAGCGGGTCGCCGTTGTCCTCATCTGCCTCATCCACAGGTGGCTCAAAGACGTCACACCACAACACACTGCCAAATTCACAGAGACAGACGAGGAACGTGCAGCAGCACGAGCCGGCAGCGATCGGCCTCACCTGGACTGGTCGGCAGATGGAGACAGAAAACGTGCGGCCGGAGTGTTCCCCTTCACCTCTTCATTCTCATCGTCAGACCTGACACACAATCTGCCTTTCGCCCATCCATCCACCTACCCACCGTGCTGGTGTTTCGGCGGCAGGGGATCACTTGCGCGCGGCCGCCCTCTCCGTCTTGGCCCTGAGCTTGCGCACCGCCTCCATCGCTCTCGTCTCCTCCTCCTGCCTGCGCGCCTTGTTCGCCTCCTCCTCTCTGATCAGCTCAGCCATGATGCGATCCGCCTTGGCTGCCCGGTCCCGGAGTGGTTGAGTGCAGGGGCGCCTGTGAGAGACTTGACGGTCGGCAGCGGGAGGCTGGACCTGTGAGACAGGCATGGTGCGGCTGTTTGACCCATCGTGGTTTGACCCATCGTGGTGGCGTACGTGTGCGCGGAGGCTCGGTAGCATCTGCATCCATCCACGATACAAACAACAAAAAGAGCAACGAATGGGAGCCGACGTACAGTCCGGACCGCGTAAGTGGGTCACCGCATAAGCGGGTCAGTTGCGTATGTGGGTCAGCCCTGTACTGACCCACTTACGCGGTCCGGACTGTAGTACTGCCAGCCATTCTGTCTCGGGTCGATTCGTGTATCTTGTGTGCCAGATACCTTGTCGTCCTTCCATGTGCCTTTTGAGGGTTTGCAACCTGGTCGTGTGATCGTGCCTTTGCCCTCGCGCTTGCCGTCAACTCACGAACCCTCGTACGTGACCATGTGCACCCATACACAAACAACATTTATGCACTGCTGCGGCTCGCATGCCATAGCCGCGACTTACGCGCATACGCGAGTAGTTACAGACGGCCCGCCACGAGTAACAAGACACGAGTAACAAGACAACCGACCAGCCAGCCGGGTCGTGCGTAGCGCCCTCACATTCGTGCGTGCGCAGGACAAGAGTGTTTTGTCCACTTTTCTTCATGCAGGGCCGGCTGAGATCTGGCGCCCCGCCTCACTTCTCCTCCGAGCGACGCGCGTCGCTCCTGCATGCTGCACAAGGTTCCCCCCCTTTGCGGGGGTTCATGGGTGTCTCCTTCGGCCTCTTGCCTCTCGTGTGAGCCTTGTCTTCCGTCTTGCCATCCATTCGTCGTGTGCTTCTCAGAACCATGCCTGTCTGCATGCACCCAACTTTCCTGTGTTTCCATGCATCGTCTGCTTCCACCCACCCACCCATCGATGTCACACACACACAGACACACGCACACAGACACACGCACACACAACTTGCATGAAAAGGACTCTTTATCCGGGAGGGATAAAAAGGGAACGCCGCGGATTTTTTACGTCGTCGACATTCGAGCACGAATTTACAACACAAACAAATAAAACGATAAAAACGATTTTCCCAATTTAATGCTGCTGAGTGGCCCCAGTACACGCGGTCGTTATGAGCGTCGTCGGCGTTGTCTTGGCGGCGCTACTCGTGGAGCCTCTCGCAGGTCAGAACCATGTACGAGACCTACTGTGGAAGTCGTATACGTTTGGCTGGGCGAGAACCTTACTGTGTGCGCACCCCGTTGAAGCCTCCTCCCTTTGATTTGATTTTTTTTAAATTACTCCCTTTTTTTATTTTCATTTGAGATTCTTTAAAATTACTCATTGCTCCTTTGATTTTTCGAGGGGTTTGCGAAGTTTTAAAGTAGAGATGGCTGGTTTGGAGGCGGCGAAGTGAAGAGGGTCTAAACGTGTTTTCAATGGCTAAAACAAGCCTCAAAATGGCATTTTGCCCCCCC